AAGGAAAATGTTTATACAAAGCAAGATTAGTTGCTAGAGGATTTGAACAACATGATTTTGGTGAGTTTGGTCAAATTCATGCTCCAGTTGCAAAACTTTCAACTCTAAGAATTTTATTGGCTATTTGCAATAACTATAATTTGGAATTGGAACAGTTAGATGTTAAAAACGCTTTTTTACATAGTAATATCAAAGAAAAAGTTTTTATGAAAATTCCAGAAGGATTAAAAAGTACCAGAGGAGGACAGAAATAAGGTTTGTCTATTAAAACGGGCAATCTATGGTTTAAAACAAGCTCCAAAAGCATGGAATGAAACGTTTAATAGTTTTATGTTAAATGTAAAGTTTAAAAGATCAAAATCTGATTACTGTTTATACAGTTTTCTTGGTCAAAATGTAAGATGTTATCTTCTTCTATATGTTGATGATATTTTGATTGCTTGTAACAATATTGAATTTTCAACTTACTTGAATGCAAGACTATGTGAAACATTTAAAAATAAAAAATTAATCAATGACGGATTTAACTTCTTAGGCATTAGAATAATTAGGGATTTGGAAAATAAGACTATTTGTGTAGATCAGATATCTGCTATAGAAATGTCAATTAAAAGGTTCAATGTAGAAAATTCAAAAAATTTCAAAACACCGATAGAAAAGAGTTTAAATTTAAAAAGAAATGCTGAAGAAAATAATATGACAAAATTACCTTATAAGGAGCTACTAGGAAGTCTAATGTATATAATGATGGAAACAAGGCCAGATATATGTTTTAGTATTAGCTATTTTGGTCAGTTTCAAGACTGTGCAACAGATGAACATTTTAAACATCTTTTGAGAGTTCTAAAATATCTAAAAACCACTCTCAGTTATAAGTTATATTTTTACTATAATTCTGATAACTTGGTAGCTTATACAGATGCCGACTGGGCTAATAATGTTAATGATAGAAAATCCATAAGTGGATACTGTTTTAAAATATTTGGTAACTTAATTTCTTGGAGTTCCAAAAAAACAAACATTTGTGACTTTGTCAAGCACGGAGTCAGAGTTTGTGGCAGTTTGCACTGCATCATGTGAATTTTTATATATTAAGAATTTGTTATCTGATTTAGAAATTACTATACAGTTGCCAGTTTGTTTGTTTGAAGACAACCAAAGCACAATTAAATTAATTCACAACTTTGAGAATAACAAGAGATGCAAACATATAGATGTTAAACTGCATTTTGTGTTAGACTTAGTAAATAGTAACATGTTAAAATTAGAATATATTCCTACAGATAGTCAGCTGGCAGATGTATTTACTAAATCATTAAGTCATGAAAAATTTTGTAAATTCGTGAAAATGTTAAATTTAGTTTGAGTTTTTGTTTCACCATGAAGCATTTTACAGGTTTGAGGGAGGGTGTTAGAATACACGGAATTTAGGAGCAAACCTTTGAAATGTTCTGTTGGCATGAATGACAGAAGGTTGTCATGTCATTTGAATTGTCATTAGATAAGTCAAGTCATGGTCATGTCTCTTTTTTTTTTCTTATATAATTGTAAATTGTAACATGTCTTTGAGATTACGCCTAATATAAAATAAAGTATTTTAACACATTTCCAAATATTATTTGAAGAACCTAACAGAGAGGGCAGATAAAATTTAACTTGCACGTTGCATTAGCAAATATGATTAATTTTGTAATGATTAAATTGTGTGGTTCATGGACAGAAAGGAACAGTCCAATTTTTGAGACTGTTTTATATATTAAAAATAAATACCTAAAAATTAATCTACTGTTGAAAGAAAACAGTCAAAGTTCCATATTAGGTATTGATTTATTTCATACATAATTTCAACTTTAAAACTCAACAATTGTCTGCTTTTAATTGCTGACCACACAATTGTAAGGGAAATCAGAATGGGAAGGGATAAGGGAAGTTGAATGGTTCTGTTTTTAAGAACCACAATTTCAAAAATTTTGTCAATTTCTTTAGCAGTATTCACAATTCTTCTTTCTCTTGTGTAGACAAGTGTAGTCAATGGCTTATTTTTTATAAATCTCTGACTGTGGGTCACTTTTCATCACAATTTATTTATTGATTTTATTCTTAACTCATTGATTTCTAATTATCGTTCCATTATAATTTTTTCTGCTATTCCTAAAATTGTCGAGGCTTTACTGACTTTACTGACTTGTTTGACAGTAAATTTGAAGAATCAGCTTCATACTGGTCAGGATGGTTTACTTACTGTCTAGTAGTTCAACTTCTACTAATTTACACTGATTATGTTATAATTGCAATAAAAACCATTTTTATGTTGATTAGATTTATACTGACTTATCTACAACCATCAACTGTTCTTGTAAATTGTGTAGACCATATTCTTATTCTGGTATGATCAATTTCTTGAATCTGGATTCTCTTATCAAAAGTGTTACCTTTTAATCTTTATTTTTCAACTTGTTTATAAAATAACCAATCTACTGAATTGCTTCAGCTAGTTTGTTTTCATACTCCTTCCCATTCACTGTGTTAAAATTTACATTTCCATGTTTCTTACCGCAGAACTAATTATGTTTCACACATAGAGATGGTCTAAAACTTTTATATCAATAGCTTTAGGTACTATTTGAAGCACTTAAATGCTAAAAGAAAATTATTATAAATGTGTACTTATTTATTTTATTCATGTATATTTTATTTTATCTGTAATTTTGTCTAATATTTCTATAATGTTGTATTTTTGTATAATTTTGACAGTGAATTTGTTCCATTTGTTATTAATAAATAAATATATGTAATAATAAGTGTTAGTTCCCTTAAACATTTATGTTTTATTACACAAAATTATTTTATATTTCTATAATGTTGCATTTTTGCATAATTTTGACAGTGGATTTGTCCCATTTGTTAATAATAAATAAACATAAATAAATGTAATAATAAATATAAGTTTCTTAAACCTTTACGTTTTATTTCCCAAAATACATTCTTAATATGCACAGGATGACACCACTTTTAGTACTTTATACAATGCCGTTGACATCTAATTTACAATCAAAAGACTGATATGTTTTTTGACTCATCTAATTTACATCCTCAGCGCTAACATAGATCTCCGAAAACATCACAAAAGTCCGTCAAGTAAGTCCTCTGGACGTATTATGGACGTCCGATTAAGGTCAAATTAACGTCCCGGTACGTCCATTTTACGTCCGCTCGGGACGTAAAATAGACGTCCATAGGACGTTTGGCGCAGCGACATTCGGACCAATATAGGACGTAAAACGGACGTGAATAGGACCAAAGCGGACGTTCGAGGGACGTTCCTAAGGTCCGCGAGGGACGTACTATGGACGTCCACTGGACGTACATGTACTATTAGGGACTATCCCATACTTCTAGAAATAGGTACATGGGAAGCAGATAACATAATACCAAGGAAAAAAAGGAGGTCAAACTTCAAAGAACTAGTGAATATGGTAATTGGACATGTCCCTACAATCAACAATCCACAAGAAATAGAGAAAAAGTCTTAGAGCTTGAACACATCATAAAAGAAAACATTAACAAATAGGACTACTAAACAAGAATATGGAATTTACGTGGGAAGATTTAGAGATATTAATAAAGAAATAAAAGAAATTGCAAGGGAAAAGAACAAAAGAGAAAGCAAGAAGAAAAAAGACAAAATAGGTCAAACCAACTAAATCGACAAATAAAATGGGCACTAATAGAACATAGATACAAATGCCATAATCATGTAAATAAATTGAGAAAGGAGGGCCAAAGCATGCAACAAATATAGAGGCTACAAAGAACATTAAGAAATGATAGAAACCCCATTCCCCCACTACACGGAGAAAACGGAATCGTATACTCTGTTTAAAAAAAATCGAGGTGATCATGAAGAGAGAATATATAATAAATTATCACCAAGACGAAGACATATACTTAATCAAAGAAGTCGAAGAAACAGAACTAGAAACGCTCGAGGTACAAGAAGAAACTATAAATCATACATAACCCAGGGAAATATAAGTGAACTGATCAGAAGAAGTTTACCAAGGAAAGCACCAAGTTCAGATTAAATTCCTAAAAGGGTCTAATGTATTTTTCTGAGAAGCAATTGTCTAACAAACAACAAACGCAATACTAAGATACAGGCTCTTCCCAAACCAATGGAATGAAGCCCATTTATAGTCATGATACCGAAGCCAGCAAAGAACAACACATTTCAAAAATTACAGGCCAATTAGCTTACTTTCAGTAGTTAGCACGATAATAGGACGAGTTATCTAAATTAGATTCATATATGAGACAGATAGGCTAACATTCCAGAGAAGTACTAGTACTTAGACTTACAGAGTATATATCAGCTGGGTTCAACAACAACTAATATATAGCAGATACATAGCAACCTTGCTGAATATAAGTAAAGCCTCACCCTGAGTGTACCATAAAGTATGGACATATAAAAGGTGAGATTATGGTATTCAGAGTCCAGATAGTACCTATCTGAACACGGAGACCCGGAAGCTGGAGTACCATAGGAGTGGTCTTATCCCCCTTCTATATAGTTTGTATTTAGAAGTTACTGATTTATTAGTTAAATATCTCGATCGGCAGTACACGGCTGGTACTGCAAGTGGTCCTTGCCAGTCGTCAATTAGAATGGTAGTTGTTTTTGGGACGTTTTTCTGAAATTAAATAACTTAATGTTTAATTTGTTGTTAGTACCTCTAACTATCCCGTGTCAGCATCTGGATATATTGAGTGTTACAATACATAACCTGTTGTGTTACAAATTAAAAACAAAAAAACAATGATACCTTAAGAAATAACCTACGGGGTTCAAGAATTAACGTATGTTTAAAGAATTATTTAACCATGTCTAAATATAATGTCTAAGAATGTGAATATAATGTCTTTCATGTTAAAGAAATATAATGTCTAAGAATTATTTTTGTATTCTTATATTACATTATATTTTTATACTACCTTACCTTAAGGTTCTTGCAAATGCTGAAGTAACCGCAAAGAAAGGCAAACGTGATTTCTTGAATGTCCAGTACCATTGAGCAAACACTCCTGCCAGCACCATCTGTCCCAATGCAATAACAAAGCATAACAACCAAAAGAAGGCGAATATATTGTAAGCTAAAAAATATAAAATTATAATTTTCTGCGCGCATTACTAACATCCTTTATTCTTATAATCCGGTATATTTAAAAAGATACAGCAGAATATCCGAAGACTTTATTAATGATATCTAGAAAGATATTATAAAGATAACAGAGATAAAAGGTAGAAGAACACATGATAGGTCGTGTTCGCGCATGAAGTCATTGGAGAGTAGAATTTGAATTCTTGTTAAAGGTATTAATATTATGTTGTAAACATAATAAATTATCAAAAAAATACAACGGTGCAATTGACGCAAATAATGAAAAACTATCATCATCATCAGTAGCTCGCCAACCCTTTCTGGATCCTGACTCGTTCTAGGATTTTCCGCCATTCTGTTCTGTTCCTTGCTTTGTTTTTCCAGTTGGTATAAGTGTTTTCAGATCTTGTTCACTTGTTTCAGGTATCTAAGTTTGGGTCTCCCCTTTGACCTTCTCCCTACTGGTGTTTGCCTCATTATTTATTTGCCTCATATATTTTGGCGTTTCAGTCGCCAACATCCGTTCAACATGGCCCATCCAGCGCAGACGTCTGATGGATGTTATCCATCGTATAATCATATATTTATGGATGTTATGATCTCAAGTTCATTGTATGCTGTGTATAGTTCAAAGTTATATCTTCAGCGCCATATATCATTTTCCTTTACCCCCTTATACATGTGTCCATATCTCTGATCCATATACAAGGACCGGTTTTATCAAAGTCTTGTATATTTTGCATTTGGTCAAACATCTTACATGTTTAATCAGTCCATTATACGTTTTATTAGTAATATTTATTCTTCTCTTAACTTCTTCAATGATATTGTTATCTGCGGTAACTAGTGAATTTAGATATGTAAAATTGTTTACGCTTTGGATGTTATAGTGTCCTATTGTCAGATTCTGTAGGTTTCTTTGGCCTGTCGATTTACTGGCCTTTTATGCCGCGTTTTAGCCGCTTTTTCTATCGCATTAAATGCTTCTATCATCTCTCCTTCGCTTCTAGCTATGATATCAACATCATCTGCAAATACCAATATTTGTACTCTTTTTGTTATTATTGTTCCTCTAATGATGACTTTTGATCCCCTAATTATTTTCTCTAATGTGATATTGAATAGAATACAGGATAGGGCATCCCCCTGTCGTAGGCCCGTTCTCACATATATTGTATCTGTTAGTTCGTTTTGAAGACGAAGATCTGATCTATTGTGGACTTCTGCCTGCGGAAACCACATTGATATCCCCCAACTAACTGTTCTGCATATGGTTTTAATCGGTCATACACAATATTTGACAGTATTTTATATGCCACAGCTAGTAGCGTTATTGTCCGGTAGTTTTTACATGTAGGTGCCTTTATTGATGATGAAGAAAACGAGCACATAGAAAATGCGCTTTTTCTCCATATCTTGCACGAATATACGGCCGCTTTAATTTATACCATGTCTGATATACAATGTAAAATTCTTTTTCGCTTTTGGATTAAATAATACCTTTCTGGATAATCGTAAGGGTTCTGGCCCACGACTTCTTTCAACAAAAACAAATCATTTTCAGTGCTGAAGCGAAGTCGTTTCTACTGCTTTCCATTATTTATAAAAATCAAAACAAATACTTAACCACAAATTTGATGAAATGTTGATAGTTTAGTAATCGGGAAAGATCCCCTTGCGCATTCGGTTACTTTCGGCTCAATAGGGATGCGTATGAACGTAACGTATCCGCCCGTTACGTTAGGTAATACGTATCTATAATACGTATTATAAATACGTTAGTTCAACAATTAATGCGCATGCTTATATGTCAAAAAGATACGTTACGTATACGTATTTGCTTGCACAAAAACTCTCTAATAACGGAAAGTTTGACTTACGATCAGTGTTGCCAAAACTCTCAAGCAAATGTAGTAAACTCGGATTCACCAGTAGATTTCAGCGTTGGCTCTTACGGACAATGTAAATCAAATGGAAGAAAACGATACAGTGTTGCTAGTTCATCGTCGGCCTCAACGTGACAGAGCCGGCTTCGAACTTAACACTCTCTTACACACGGAGCACTTGAAATTTTGCAGTAACATTCACTGATTTGCCCTAATGACTATTCCAGAAAATATTCGGACGTCGTCGTAATATAGTGCTCATCAATTGATAAGGATCATAATTATGATTTAAAATATTTTAAAAGTTTGTTGAGATCCTAGTATGATGACTTCGATAGAATAAATGAAAATAGATGACTTTAATATTCAACTTTTTGCTGATCCTAGTAAAAAATGGCCATAATGGCAAAATTTATTTTATTTCATTTAAAATTGATAATACAGTCGGGGTATTAAAATTACTTTAATTTTGTTAATTTTTTACAAACTTCGACTGTTTCTGGAGTAAAATATTACTTCGATCCTTATCAATTGTTGAGCACTGTTGTATTTGACAAATAGAAAATTTCTTACATATCTTGACCTCTTGTTGTCATATTTACAGAAATGGATGTTTGGAGACCTTTTGAATAGAATTGAAATGAATAGAAAGAAAATGCCACGATTAGTAGATAGGTAAAAAATATATCGAGGATACATCATTTATATTTTAGTATTATTTATACAGGGTGTTTCATTAACAGTTATCCATATAGTAACTGAATATACCTTAGCACAAAATACGAAGATTTAACCTTTAACACTAATCACATGCTATGATTTTTGTGACTGATATTTTTAAGTTGATTTCATATAATTGAATGAACTATCTTTCAATAAAATCCTTGCAGCTCATAAATATTGGCAATATCATTTTGATGTATTCTACTTTAAAATGTTTAATATGTTTGATTTGCCGATATGAATGAGTCAGATTAAATTTAATTATTAGAATATTTTTTTTACTAACATCAAAATTTTTGTAATTGATTAATATTTTGTATTTCGATAATGACCTCCAAAGTGAAAGTCGTATAATTCGTATAATAGCTTACTGACTAAGGAGCGTTTGTAGAAATGGTTTAACCGTGTAGAAATTTCGGTATTTTTGTAATTAAATATCCATTTAGAATTTTCCTGATAGTAGTATCTACTAATTGTTATACGAGTTCGTATTAGCAGTTTTGCAGTTTGTCGAACTGTTTAACTGTTTTGTGTGTGCATTCGAGAAGGTACGTTAACTTGTCAAAAATTAAGTGCAATTTATTTTTAAACTTTTTTATGTACTGTGTCAAAAACATGAAGCATTTACAGGTGAAAAGTTTCACACAAGAACAAATCTTAGATTTATATGCGCGACAAATGATTTTGAATATGTTGATATATACAACAAAAACAAAAACAAGGATTGGATCATAATGGAGGCTTACCCAAAATTCTAAAAAACCTACGTAAACGGACCAAGAAGGACCAAATCGGGAGTTTACCTACGATGAGAATATCAGGAGCCTGAATTGTTGAGACTGTTAATAGTAATAATTGATCCACGTTGGTATATATCCTGTCGATATATAAATTAATTATAATAATATATAATAATATATATAATAATTAAATAATAATTAAATAAAATATATAATAATTAAATTTAAATTTGTAGCCACTACGGAGCTACTAATTTTTTTTGTAGCATTTTCCCTAGTAGTCTCCGTTCTGTTGTTACACCCTGTATAATTTAGTAAAAAAGATTTCAAACAAAATAGTTTTATTAAATTTTGTGTAATTTGTAAAATCTTGAAGTTGTAAATAATGTTACATTTACTTCTAATAGGATTGCATGATTTAATGTTATCGTACAGGAGGACCAACCCGGTCCTGTATCACACCTGCAGACTATGAACGTGCATTGTGTCCTAAGCGGCAACGTCGCTTCTCATAAGCACTGTACTGAAATCCTCTCGTGAATTTGTCTATAGACTGCCCATATACGAGTCGTTCTAATCAGAGCCCTATTCAGCAATGTGTAGATGTAGTTAACTTAATTTCACTAAGCTGATACGTACAGTTAAATATGGAATAATGCCTTATAAATACTTGTTTCTTTAATAGGCAGATACAGGTATGTAATTATTACAGATCTGATAAAAATAGTTAAAATTTGACAATTGTTTAACATTTCATGTTTATTAACACTTTATCTCTATCATTACTATTACTGTCATCGTTATTACTGTCATCGCTATCACTGTCATCCCTATTACTGTTATCCATCACATTTATTACCGCTTATAGCTATCATCACCATTACTGTCATCGCTATTACCGTCATCGCTATAATTGTCATCCCTATCACTGTCGACCCTCACAGTCGTCATCCCTATGTCTGTCATTACCACAGTATCAATATCATTTAATAATCCGTCAATAACACAAATTTGTTGATCTTCCTTAATCGCAAGTTTATAACAGTTTTTCTAGTTGTCCACTGTTACTAAACTAAATGTATTTCTTTACTACATTAATTATTCCATTGTTCCATATACTCTGTGTTGTGTAAGGCAATATGTTTTTTGACTTTACTCCATACCTTTTTAATTGAATTTAACTCACAATGGTATAGAGGCAGTCTCAGAATGGCAACATTTTTCTCTTTGCACATCCCGTAGATTTTATATTTTCTGTATTCTTCTTTTAATGTATTTACGACTTCTATAAGCTTTGATTTTAAAAAATCTTGTTTAAAAAAGCTATATTTCCCCAGCAACCATGTCTTAATTTGATCTTTATTAAACGCTTGTGTCCAAATCACTTCTTCTCTCCTCGAATAATACGAGACGTTGTCTATTAAAACAGTTTGTCTGATGGATTAGGAAAACCATTGTTTAAATATAAGACCATCATTCTCATCCTGATAGGCCGCTGAGTATTTTTTAGCTAAAAACCAAAAACCATCACATTCCACAAAGCCCAATTCACTATCCGCATGCACTATAACAAATCGGGGGCCTCGCGCTGTCGGCTGTTTTAGGCCTGTTCACATCCCCTTAAAAAAGCATCCCTGGCTGAAGTCTCTGAAAGGTCGTTCCATTCTTTTTAAACACTTTGTCCGACATTTATCGAAGTTTAATCCGACATCGACAGTGTATCCTTGGGAACAATTTTTTTCTCGCGCAAATACTGATGCCTCCTTTCAGAATATCGGGCCGTTCCATTATGGTTTACTTTACTTCTTGTTTGCAAAAAAAACATTTAAAATTAAAAACATTTAACTATTTGCCTTTTTAAACAGTGCAAAAACTTTGTTCAATGTCGGCGGTAAATTTTTAAATAAAAAACTATGCACTATGGTGAGAAGCCGCGTATGAACTACTGCGTCGTAAGTAAATTTTCTGTTGTTTATCTACTTTTGGTAGCTTTTTTGTTTTCTTTACGGGTCTTAGTCCTTCTTCCACAGCTTCTTTGCGTATTTAAGAAAGGGTACTAAAACCTACTCCCATAGGTCATAGCACTTACTTTATCGATTAAACTTTTAATACTTTCGCCACTTAAATTTCAATGTTTTTTTTTGTGTGTGTTTTGGCTGACAATTGTCATTCAGCCAGTCTCAATCAAGATAAGTTTATTAATGTAGTGTGTGTGTGTGTGTGTGTGTGTGTGTGTGTGTGTGTGTGTGTGTGTGTGTGTGTGTGTGTGTGTGTGTGTGTGTGTGTGTGTGTTTGTGTGTGTAGAGTAATTGTCTTGATACTTAGCAAAGTCGACGTCATTGTCTTTGCTAAGAGACGCTAATTGTATCCGAACGTCTGCGGTCCCTCCGGTGTGTACCGATCACACAAGGATAGAAATTATTTTCATTTATTAATTTTTTTTTAATAAACGAAAATTTCCACCCAGGTGGGATTCGAACTCACGACCTTTAGGTTTAAAGGGGCGCTCTTACCACTGAGCCACAGAGGGGGTTAAATTTCAATGTTAATTAAATACATTTAAAATAATTTGTTTTGCAGATGTCTAAGATCTTTCCTTGGCTTGATTTTGTAATTTTCATTTTTAATGAACATTAAACTGTGAAGTCAGAATAACTACTAAACAAACACAAATTATATGACCATTATTCTAATGGCATGTTGTATTCTCACGGAAAAACAATTAACCTGTCGTTAATTTAATTAAAATAACATAAAATAAAATTATCTTTTTCAAATAATATTTATTTAATTAAAATAGTTTTCTCTACTTCTGCTTGTCGTGGCATCGGTTCTATCGTCCTTAGAAATACGTAGCCCTATCTACGCAACGTTCCGTTCTTAACGTGAAACGCTCTATAGCAGCTGTTAGCACTGTGTACGACTTTAATCCTGAATTTATTTGTTTACTTTAGATTGAAATACTGGTTTATTGTACATTATAAAAAAGTTAACTTTAACTTACCTTGTAAGTAGGGATACATCACATCATTATTCATTTTAATAAATTTACAAGTGGCATTTACACAAAATGTCTTAAAATCGACTTTAGTTATTATGTTCTTATTCCAATCGTCTGGATCACATTCAACATCATCCTAAAAATGATTAACAGTGTTAAAAATATGCGAGAAAATAATGAGTGCCGATCTTGGTAGAAAATATTATTACCCTCAACAAGTCCCAGGCCTAACTACTAAAAAAACGACTTTTAAGCAAAGATCAACCTTATTTATCAATATAGTTTTTTGTTCTATATATGTAGGTTAAATATTGATGGATCGCAGTGTCGATCTCCAGCTGTTTATACAGCAATGCAGAGACGTTAACCCTTAAAGCTAAACATGTGTCTAAAGTACATAATGGCAAACATCCGGTCTCAGGGACCCGGCACAAAAATATGTAGATATTGTAGATATTTGTATTGATATTTTGAACACAGGGATACTTACAAAAATATATAAAAAAAATTGGAACTATTTAAAGTAAAAAAATCGATTTTAAATAATTTCTATTAATTAGGTATAAAGTACTTTTCTGCTGCACTACAAGCAAATAGGATCGCTAGAATTTATGCATTTGTATGATATTTCTCTCTATTTTTGAGGTGCATAGGTGTTTGTCAGATAGAAGTTTTTCGGTGGAATTTTGTAATTCTTCAACAATGACTTCACATATAAGTGACCTTATATCTATCTATATCTATATCTATATCTCTAGGAAGATTTAGAATTAATAGGCGTCTCCTTATACGTGATTCTGTAAGTGTCGTAGGCAAACTTTAAGTGGATCCTTTTCATTGGGGAATTTTGACTGTAATACTATTGACACAACTTATATTGACTAAAGTGTAAAATATTACTAACGGCCGTCTCCTGGTTCTTCTATTAGATGAATATAAAGCAGTTCTCATATCCAGAATGTCTACACCACTTTTTGTTTTGTTATAATAACAGACAATTTCCGGCTCATTTTTATCAGGATATGTTTCAATTCTTTTATGTATTAACGATATAAGCACAACAGACCTGTTGATTTTATTTATCTTCATAGTGCCGACATATATAAGAGAACTTTTTCCAAGTTCTTCTACCAGCTCCAATGACGTGAACCAATTGTTGGCCGCAATATTCCGATTCGATCCTTCAAGCGGTTTACATAGACGTAAACCTGATTAAGTAGATATCAAAAGCATAGGTTCTTTTTTGAAATGTCTATTTTCATTACTCTCCATTCCTGTGTAAATATAACCATTATAGAGGTAAGAACCATACGATTCAGCCAAGCATTGAATCTCTATGCCATATTTAGCTGGTTTTTTTGGCATGTACATCCGAAATCCACATTTACCTTTAAAAGCGATAAGCACTTCATCCACTGTTACATTATCACTAGGACAGAACATTTCTTTAGAATTTTGAATAAAAGCATTAAATATTTTGGAGATCGGGGCAGCACGGTCCGTTGTCATTATCTCCTCTCGAGACGTGATGAAACCTGAGAGCACTCACTAATATTTCAAAGAACTTAACAGACATGGTTGATCTAAAAAATAGTTCTTATAGTTAGACCCTTTGCGAATAGTGAATTCATATTTTCGGGGCCAGATTTGAAAACTGAAGTGAGCATAAGCAAACCGATAAATGAGTGTTCCTCCAAAATATCAGTAGATATCTGTAAAATTTGATTTGCTATTTTCAAGTTTTAGTTTGCTTTTAATTGAAATTAATTTAGCATTTGTACATTGGACAGTTTAATTAATCATTGGTTCATCAAATACGTATTTCCAAATTTCTATCTTGCCAAGGTTCACTATTTTTGTAACTTTTTTGGGAAGTCCTCCAAAATATCAGTAGATATCTGTAAAATTTGATTTGCTATTTTCAAGTTTTAGTTTGCTTTTAATTGAAATTAATTTAGCATTTGTACATTGGACAGTTTAATTAATCATTGGTTCATCAAATACGTATTTCCAAATTTCTATCTTGCCAAGGTTCACTATTTTTGTAACTTTTTTGGGAAGTCTGGGATATTGGTGAACATTGGCGTTTTTTTGAATGGAAGACCATGCACTTTTAACCATTTACGTTCCTTCTTGTCTATTCTGCTATAAAAAACCATGGTTCTCCCATTTCCTTCCTCATATTGGTTGGTGCTTTTACCTATAAGTTGTTGCTCAGATTCAAGAAGATCATCTTCTCCAACACTACTGTCACTTTCTTCGACCCTCTTATTCATTAGGTTCATCGTCGTTCTCCAAATACCACTAAATATCTCGTTGCTAAAAATATTTGTCTTCAAACTTGGTTCGTTGTCTGTTGCAGATGCATTTCAACTTCTCGTGAAATGTCCATGGTAATGGGCCTTAAAAATAATAAAAGGCATTTTTGGAATTATTACCACCAAGGCTAATTATATACAAAGTACATAATATGATTCATCCGGTCTTACGTATCTATAAGATTAATAGCGTAATTAGAAATACCCGGCCTGTGAAACTGGAAGACTTTCAAACACCAATTGTACCTTATAGTTACAGAACATAAATACATTAATCGAGGTTGCGCACGTTACGTACCTCAGTAATTGATGGAATCATATTTTGGAGGGAAGAAGTTCAAACAGGGTTGCCAAAGTTCAGCATAATGTGACTCTAAAGATCTCAGGGACTGGTATTAACGACTGCTAAAGACAGGTATTAACGACTAGGATATTCAGATTGTGGCAAACCTAACTGGAGTAAAACAGCAAGAGTAAATATAGGCATTGAACTTACTGATAGTGGGGAGATTAAAAGAGGTATTTAACAGGGGTGTATCTTAGTAAATATTATTATTAATTTAATAGCTTTAACTCCTCGGCTATCTCTTCTTGTTCTTTCTTATAGTTCCATCTTTTATAGGAGGGTGGCTATCATAACTGCCATTCTTATTGTATTTGCTGTCGATCTGAAAACATCTAACTAGGTCCAATTATACCATTCTCTACAGTTTTTCAGCCATGATATTCTTCTTCCACAATTATTATATCCCTAGTCTTTCCTTCCATAACAAGTGTAAATATATCATCATTTTCTCGTCTGGTGATACATATTTGGGCTTGGAGAAAAAAATAAGCTAAGAGACCGTCTAGCAAATGTTACATCATATCAAGAGTGTGTGATTACTAATACTTATTTTAAATTCCCACGCAAAAGATTATTTCAATTATTTCAATTTAAAATCATCTTGGGATATTCTAGACCATAGAGTGAGAAATTAAAAACAGTACATCATGATTAATAAAAGATTCCGTAAGTAAGTATTAAGTATCAGTAAGCGAAAAATTAAATACACGGCTTTTGGTTAATTAACAACCAATTGACCAAGTAAACAGCTGCACATACCTTAATACCAACATAAACATGAAATGGAACCACTCTACTAAAATAAAGAACGTCTAGGAAAAGCAAGATCGGCGGTTATAAAGATGAAGTCTCTTTTCAGAAGTCACGATTTACCACTTGGTAGCAAAATGTCTATCATCAGATGCTATGTATTTTCTACGTTAATGGAGTTGAGGCCTGGACACTTTCTGAAGCTTCTTTAAGAAAGCTCGAGGCCTTCGAAATGTTGTGTTACAGACACATCTTAAGAATTTCATGGGTTGATCGTGTGACTTTTATTGAGGTCTTTCGTAGAACGAGCAAGGAAAGAGAAAATATTAACACAATCAAAGAGAGCAAATTAGAATATCTTGGATATGTTGAGAAATAAACAGAGGTATGGCTTGTCGCAACTTATTCTTCGGGGTAAGGCACTTGAAAAGTACCTTAAAAGAAAAGAAAAGAAAAGAAAAGAAAAGAAAAGAAAAGAAAAGAAAAGAAAAGAAAAGAAAAGAAAAGAAAAGAAAAGAAAAGAAAAGAAAAGAAAAGAAAAGAAAAGAAAAGAAAAGAAAAGAAAAGAAAAGAAAAGAAAAGAAAAGAAAAGAAAAGAAAAGAAAAGAGCTTACCTGAAATATATGCCAACTAAAACACAAGAGGCATACCATAATTACAAGACAATTAGAAACGAAACACGTACACTTGTAAGAAAAATAACAAATGATCTAATAGTACTAATAAATCAGAGGATAAGATTAGCAGATGAACCACAGAGTTTTAGTAGTGAAAGATCGTGTACAGATGCAATATTTTTTGTTATAAAGCAAATGACTGAGAAATTACTAGAGTATAATAGACCAGCATTTCTATGTCTGATTGACCTAATGAAAACGTTTGACAGAGTAAAACTCAAAAATGTAATCCATCTTCTGTATAATAGAGAAGTTCCCCTAAATATTATAAAAACTATCGAAAACATCTACCAAAACAACAAAATGGAAGTCAGAATAGATGGACAACTTACAAAACCTATAGAAATAGGCAGCGAAATAAGACAAGGGGGTTCATTGAGTACCATGCTGTTTAATTTGATCATGGATGAAATCATCAAAAGCGTTAACAAAGGAAGAGGATACAAAATGGGAAACAAAGAAATAAAAATACACAGTTACGCAGGCTATGCAATATTGATAGCCCAAGATGAAGATAGTCTGCTAATACTGGTCCACAGATTTAACATAAGAGCAAAAGAATTTAATATAAAAATCTCATTTTAGAAAACTAAAACAATAGTAGTCAGCAAAGAACCAATCAGATGTAAAATAGAAATTGATGGCATCAGTATTGAACAAGTAATAAAAATAAAATACCTGAGAATTACACTATCTAGCTATGGAGACAAGGACAGAAAAGTGAGAGATCATGTACAAAAAGCAAATAGAATGGCAGGAAGCCGTAATTAGACTATATGGCAAAACAGACACATTAACACTGAGATGAAGTCAAGAATTTATAAAGCCAGTGTAAGACCAATAATGACATATACCTCAGAAATAGGACCCGACGCAGCCACAATGCAAAGGCTACTGGAAACTGCAGAGATGAGAGAACTGAGAAGAATTACAGGAAATACGATGAGAGATCGAATGCGAAGTGAAGACATTAGAAGAAAATGTAACTTATAGTGTATAAATGAATGTACACAAAATAAAAAAAAAGAATTAAATAACCACATAAGCAGAATGGAGGAGACCCGTGTCGTCAAAATAGCACGGGATAAGTCACCAATCGGTAGAAGAAGTATCGGACGACCGCACAAAAAATGAAGTAACAACCTTCCACAGAGGTATTAATCCACCAATGAACAATCAGAATTGCTTATAAAGAGGAAGAAGAAGAAGGGTCAAACTTTCCAAAGCTTGTCAAATTTGACCTTCGTAATTATACTAAAAAACCAACTCGTATTATTTATTGTTATATTGATAACATATCGCAATAAATAAAGGAAGTTAAAAAATCTACTATAACTAAATTGTCAACATTAACGTGGATAACTGGTTAACAGAGACAATCTGAATAGTAGACAAGGGTGCATACCGTGCTTGTTATTTCACATATACTTTGAACATTTTTTCATACAAGCGATGTACACGAGAGGAAGTCTCCATCCTTACATGTTATATTTTTTTCTGCATTATTGTACAGAGTAGAAGTTTTGATGGTTTCTAAAGCTTCTTTAAAAAAGCTCGAAGCTTTCAAGATGTGGTACAATTACAGGCGCATCTTCATCAAACGACCAATGTACGTAGAATGGGTAAGGAACCAGAGGTCATTTATGCAATCAAAGAGCGCAAATTGAAATAGCTAGGTATATTCCGAGAAATGAGCAGATATATCACTCTTAAAGGCAAAGTTTTGGAAAAAATCCAGGCACAAAAATAACGATTGTCTTACTATTTCAACACTTACCTTTATTTCTCTACTCTAGTCGTTCTTTCACGAAATGACGCAGATGTAGTTTTATAAAATATTAATAATTTATAATTATTTTTGTTTTATTCATTACTCACTTATTTTGTTTAATAAGTATTAGCAAAAAGATTGCTGAAACCATCAGTAAGATTCGGTGATTCAAGTCTTGTAAAACAACTAATCAACCCTGACTTACGGAGAGAAATTCTTTTTGTAAGAAGATTACAATAACTGCAATCATATCCTCATCTTTGGAACTAAGAAGAGCATTGAGAGGCTCTCCCAGTCTAAGCATTGATTCACGGAGGGGCCTGTTGAAAGTTTTAACATACCATCAATAATACATAAATATGTTCTGTTTGTTTCCAATATATCTTGTCTCAAATAAAACCAGTCTAAAATATCTGTTTTTCTTAAAACAAAATACCAGCTCATAAAATTGTAAATTTTCTTATCTGACCCACTTTACTTTCGAAAAAGGCAGTCAAAATGTCTACCTGAAAGTGTGTTATTAGGTTTTATTGTTTTCGGAATTTTTATTTAAAGAGTAGTTTATGAAAGTTAGTTAAATTCGTTAACATGCATTGAAATACGTTAAATTTTGCAGGATACATTTTTCCTATAAATTTTGGGCATCTCAACCCAGGCACTAGGCCCAACGCGCATTATATATCTACGTCTTAAATGAGACACTCTCATCAACACAATAGTGCATTTCTCGATCGCCTAGTAATTTATGTGCATATTACATAAAACTCTCTTCGTACATCTTAGAAAAATAAAGAAAAAAGTTAATCTTACCTAAATAATACGTTTTATAATAAAGTATTTTTGTAATTGTGCTACATAAAATTAAAGTGTTTTAAACTCATCAAACATTATTTACTAACAATTCTACTTAGAGATTGTTTCGACGAAAGATTTTTCAATCCAACTCTTCATATTCGGGTAGTTCCAGCCTCTGTGCTCTAGGAGAGTTTGAGGAAGGTATGTTATGCCTTCAATATATGCTCTCCTCTACAACAAGAACACAGAGACCTACAGCACGGACTTAAAGAAGTTCAATGAGTTACAACCAGCCCTCGTGCCTGAGCCAGTTCTCGTCGACTTTAAGATGGCGGAATACATCGCCGTAAAATAATATCTCCACTTCCAGCAAGTCCTTTGGAGAGACGTATAGAAGATGCCCAAAGTCCTATACACCAATAATCTAGTTATGAAGGAGAATAATGAAGATATGATTCTTGACAAGGCAGTTAATAGCGCTCAAGCCATCCAATGTCTTGGTACTCCTGCCTTCATCTCAATAAAATACAAATAGTAAATAATCTCAACACATGTTTAAAAATCCTATTTAGGGGAAAATAGTTGTTAGTGGAAGTGGCGTTAGTAGAAATGGATTTTGTGAAGTTGTGTTGGTGGATGTTGTCCTATAAATGGTATTAGTGCCGCCATCTGTATTTTAGGCCTGTGACTGAATGGTAAAATTGTGTTTGGATTTCAAAAGCTACCTGGGGATAATACTGACTGCTTATAGTAAAGCTTTATAGATGTTTATATAATACTACTGATTCTTATAAAGTTATATGCCGTATGTTAACATACTAAAATGTACTTACGTCTAACCCAACGAGTTTAGAACAATCGGTACTTAAATATCTGGTTTTGTACAATGGTTTACCAACAGTTGCGAGATATACACCTACTGCAATGGAATACGCTATCACACCGAACTGTAGAATCCATGGTAAAATAGGAAAGAATAACGCAGCTGTCACTGATCCTACGGCCCTAAGAAAAATAAATAATAAAGTTCAATAACTGCCAAATGTCGGTATAGCATTATAAAAATTGTTAGAGATTGAAAACGTAAACTTGATATAAATCATAAGGTTATTTTTTTAATTAACAATAAAACACTGAAAACTTTGTTTTCAAACTTCCACAAAATTTATTTTAACTATTATCACTACAGCGGTTTCGGCTGATTGCCTTTCTCAAGTGTGGATCAACAAATAAGGATCAACAACTATGGAAATCAACAAATTAGAAAACACAGATGTAATTCTGAATGACCAACTTGAGACAAACAGTTCTCCCCTCCTCAACCTATTTCATTAGAGACTACAAATTGTAAACGCATGCCAAAAATAGATCACATAACACTCTCTTTTCCTTAATCATACTACTCATTCATCGACCTGTTGTATCATTTGTTGTATTCGCTAATTTCTAATGTGCGTCAAAATATGCTTTTTGTGTAGACATGACTCTGTCTGATTTTCAATGTGTCTCCAGTACATTGTCGTTCCATGGTTTTCGTGTTATTCCCCCTGATCGTCTTCCTATTGGGAAACTTCCCTCATCGTCTTTACTATTCTATTTTTTGTTGATATCTCGTTAATATGATCGTTACATTCTACTCTTCTCTTTCTTACCCTTTCTCTTTCCATTGTTGGTTTAATACCACTTGGGTTGGGTCGATCTCCTTCTTATTGGTCACTTTATATTTAGTTATGTGAATGTTTATCGACAGTCCCCAATGTCTGCATTCTATGTTAACTCTATTGATTAGTTGTTCCTGCAGGTCGTTGATATTTTCTACTAGAATCACAGTATCGTCGGCGTATCGTATATAATTAATTATTTCTTCTCCTATGATAATTCCTTTTTGATCTTTTAAACATATATTTGCTACGCTTTGATTAATATTGATTGGCTTCATTTTCTGTTTTTTATAGACTAATAATGGCTGTTTGGTTCTAGTAAAGTTTGGCAATAAGTTTGATGTCTTTGTCGTCTAGTTGGATGCTCTGCAAGGCGGTAATTAATTTGGGATACTGTACGCAATCAAATGCCTTTCAAAAATCAATTAAGGACATGTATATAACTTTTCATTATTATTTCCTGACACTTATTATAAATTGCAAATAGTGTGTGCAATATAATATGCAAAAGTAGATACCAGTAATAGGTCTGATGTTAGAATTATTAAGCAAAATGATGTAAAAGAAACAGAAAACAGATAATTTAATTCAAAAGCACTGAAGAACTTTTAATAAATGGAAAAAGACAATAAATACAATAGTTAGCTTAACCATCGATATATAATAGTTATTGATGCACCAGGGATGTTATTAAGATGATTACTACCGAAGAGCAACATAATCAAGCCAGAGGGCCCCTGGCCTGAAAGATGCATGTTGCTCGATGGGCCTAATCATTCGGTAACAAAAGTAGCTACATATAAAATTTAATTTTTTAGTTCACATGATATAAAAACTAAAATTGAGATTTTTTACTGTTTATTTTACTGCACCTAGAAAATATATATGAATATTTGTAGTAGTCTATGACAAATAAATTGTTTGAAGTAGTCTATGATACTATAGTTGTTAATATCTTGACGTTAGACGTTTGTTGATTATATTATTAGTTGGATTTATATTCAGTTATGGATTACTATATAAATATTCTACAAAGTGCAATTAAAGCAACAGGAAATTTATTGCCGCTTTAATCCAGACTAAATTTGTACGACAAAGAGTATAAAATATTTATTCAATGGAAATTTGGAAAATAAAATGGCTGACATAAACGAAACCATAATATTGACTTATTTTCAGGAATTGGTATGTTAATCTTTGTTCTTTTTATGCTGAGTTTACGTTTCTGATTTAAATATTTTAGTCCGGAAAGTAATCTCCAAATTCCTTGTGGACAATTATATTTTGAAATCCATTATTTAAATTACATTAGTTGTTAACGAAAATGTTGATATTTCCCTTTTTTAAGGTTAAAAAATTATAGTTCTTCAATATTTACTCATTTGAAGATTGTTGTTTACAATAAAAAAAAATTCTTTCTATAACATTTGCTTTTTCTTATATAGAGGGCGTTATAGTCCATAAAGCTCTCGTTATATGGCCCATGATATAACAGTTGTGTTTATGGTAACCATATCCAAGATAAAATAAACAAATATTATTCAATTGAAAAATTAAAACTATTATATCTACCTGGATCTGTTGATCCCAGTAATACTTACTTGCTTCCTTCTTTAATTAAAGTTATGGCTAGTACGATTCGTTTCCTGAGAACAAGAAGTATAAGCAATATCACCACTAAAACAATGGCTACTATTATTACGCATGTAAGCCATAAGTCCTTGGTTGTTTTTAATTGTTTTTCGCGCATTTCTTTTTCCTCTTCGTATTGTGTATTGTTGTTGCTAGAGATATCGTTTAGGGCGTGGTTGTATTGGACTATTGAAAAATATAATCCTAAAATATAAGACAATTGTGTTAGAATACAACGAATAAAATGTAATATTCCAATATAAAGTAGCAAAAACAAACAGAGGTAGGAAGAAATCAGTTATTTCTGATTTTGGTGTTACAGAAGAATTCTACGAATATCATGAATTCAAAGAATGTCAAACGCAGAAGTAACTAGAAGAATAGGAAATGTAGCTGAAATAATATTATTAACTATTAAAAGAATAAAACTTAAGTACTTAGGCCATGTGATGAGAGGGCAAAGATACTAATTATGGCAGCTTATTATGCAAGGCATGGTCAAGGAAAGCGAGATATGGGAAAACGAAGAATATTGTGGCTTAAGAACTTAAGGAGATGGTTTGAATGCAGTAGTGCAGAACAGAAATGCAATAATTTCAGATTAGAATTTAGCATTTTTATCAATCGATGTATTTCTCTTTAAGGTACCAGCAAAAAACACAACTTTGTTTTATTCGCAGTGGCGGTCTTAGTGTAATTTAGTTCAGTAAATGAGTATTTCTTGTAATTCAATTTTACTTAACTAAGTACATAACTTTGCTTAGGCCTCGAGAAATAAATATTCGAATGAAACATCGCTGCAAAGATGATTAGAAGACTTTTCAAATTATGTGTCCTACGACCTCGGTTTGTATGTAAAAAAATCTTCGATTACATCATTACGCCAATACTAATGACGTAATGTCCACTACATATACAGCAATTGATGGCCAAATTGACTTGTAAAAGTCGTCTATTTCTGAAATAATTAAGGTATTTCATAGCTTTGTATCATACTGTAGATACACAACTGTTTTTCGGAAAACTTAGTTACTAGAAATAGCATTGGGATCAATTGTCTAGCATCTTTTTCTTTTGTCATATTATAAATAATTAATATTTTATATATTTCTTGTAACAAATTAGTGCGTAATTGTTTGACCAGTAATTCAAATATCAATCAAACTTTCGTGAAAATCTCTTATAGGTAGAGGAAAGGCACCGAATTCGAGACAGGCGACTATTTGAGACATCGTCGTATATTTGTGTACGATAGGGTGACATCTAATGAAAATATTGAAAACTGATCGTTCTGTGCAGTAGTGGTAGATCTGCTCTTAGTTGACGCTTAGAAGTGACCTTTGTTGTTCTATCGACGTTAATTTGATTTACACATTACACAAATTTTTTTCGGAATTTATAAAAACTTACAATACATCAAGGTAAGTTGATTACATTTAATCCAATTATTTTTTTTTTGTTAGTTTAATATTAGTTAATACATTTTGTGCACATTAAAGTGTAATTGTGTGACATACATAACTAACAAAAATGCGTTTTATTTCTAACGGAAAAATCCTAATTTGAGATACCTGTAGGTTTCAAATTTGAGAGTGTCTCAAATTAGGACCCAGTGTAAAATTTTTATTTTTATCGGTCTTTTTGTTTGTAGATACCGCCAAAAAATAAATAACGCAAATGATATGATACGGACTGTAAATACAATCTCTCTCTTGTCGTTTCCTCATTGCTGAGGATCGTGATTCCCTACAATGCGGGCTGTCAATTCTCTCCATCTCTTGCGATTTTGGGCTGCTCTCATGGACTCGGAAAACGTCTCTCCAGTGGCTTTCTGTACTTGATCTGACCATCGGATAGGTGAGCGTCCTCGGCCTCTACGTCCTTCTACGTTTCCGCACACAATTAGTCTTGCTAAGTTGTCGTTGTCTCTTCTCGCAATGTGGCCAAAAAACTTTAAAACATTTGCAAGACACTGAGAGGAGAGTCTGGTCTGAATGTTTAGCTCTTCGAGAATCGACTGATTGGATCTGTGCTCCGTCCACGAGACGCGTAACATTCGTCTCCAGCACCACATTTCGAATGCGTCAATCCTTTTCCTATCCTCTGATTTTATTGTCCATGTTTCGGCACCGTAACTAAAGATTAAAAAAACGAGTGTCCGTACCAGTCTCATTTTGAGTTTTTTGGACAAAGAGCGGTCCTTCCATATTTTTGACAGTCGACTCATCGCGTTCTTGGCCATTCCTATTCTTCTGCGAATTTCCGTATGGCAGGAGGCTGCATTGCTTAAGGAAGATCCTAGATACGTAAACTCGTCTACTTTCTCGAATTGATTTAGGGCGCCTGTTGTTTGGAGGATATTCGCGTGGTCCACAATCATGATTTTTGTTTTCTGATTATTAATATTGAGCCCACACTTGTTGCTTTCGGTTTCTAGTGTCTTTATCAGTCTCGACATCTCCTCTTCAGATGTTGCTATCAGTGTTGTATCGTCTGCGAATCTTAAGTTTGAGATCTTTTTCCCTGCAATGGAGATGCCGCCTCTCCATCCATCGAGTGCGTTCCTCATTATGTATTCTCCATATAAATTGAACAGGTCTGGAGATAGTATGCAGCCTTGTCGTACACCTCTGCTGGTTTTGAAGGTATCAGATTGCTGGTTTTCAATTCTTATTTTAACTGAGTTATCTTCGTATAAGTTTTTAATTAATTTTGCCAAATGATCTGGAACTCCCATCTCATAAAGAACTGTCCAGAGAACTTCCCACTTTACACAATTAAATGCCTTTTGGTAGTCTAGAAAACAGATTATTATTGGAATTTTAAATTCGCGGGCCTTTTCTATGAGCTGCCGCATATTAAGGATTTGCTCTCTCGTCCCCTTCCCTTTGACAAGCCTGCTTGTTCTTGGGAATTTGGTTGTCTAAGTACTGTTGCAAACGGCGTTTAATGATTCTTAGTAATATTTTGCTTGGATGGGAAATCAGTGAGATGGTACGATAATTACTACACTTTGTAGTTGTTCCTTTTTTATGGATTGGTATGCACAATGATGTGCGCCATTCTCTGGGCCACTTTCCGCATCTCCAAATTTTATTACAAAGTTTCCACATTATGTAACATCCTTTGTCTCCCATGTTCTGAAGGAGCTCTCCCGTGATATCATCGCAGCCAGGGGATTTATTCTTCTTGAGGTGAGTTACAACTTCTTCAATCTCGGACAGCAGAATTTCAGGTTCAGGGTTGTATTCAGTGTTTTCGAGGGCTGAAGTGTGGCCTAGATTTACGTGTTCTTCTCTGTAGAGCTCTGAACAATAGTTTTTCCATGTTTCCAACACTCTGTCGATATCACTTATGATAATACCATGTTTGTCCTCTATTGCATAGTTCTTGGGTTTAAATTCTCTCGCAAGAATTTTCACTTTCCGGAAGAGGTCTTTGGTTTCATTTCGATATCCGTGATTTTCTATTTCTTGGCAGATTTCAGAGATGTATTCTTGTTTGTCTTCTCGGCATCTTCGTTGAATATCTCTGGAGAGAGCTTTATATGTCTGTTGATCACAGGGGCCAACTTTAAGTTGCTTTCTTTGTTCAATCACTTTCCACGTGTTTCTGCTGATCCATGGTTTAATGCTATTATTTATAGATGGTTGGCGACATTGGTTCACTGTTGTTACGATGGTTTCTTTAATATCTGTCCAGGCTTAATCCACGCTTTGTTCTGACTGATTGTTCCCTATTCTGGTTAGTGCTGGTTCAATTCTCTCTTTAAAGGTAGCTAATTCGGGGTCCGTTAGCCCAAAAGAACGGGGAGAAGCTTTGCGTATGTTCTTGAAACGCATTCTGTAATCTGCCATCAAGAGCTGGTGATCGCTTCCGCATTCTGCTCCTGGAAATGTTTTTGCGTTGGTAATTGAAGACTTCCATCTCGAACTGATCAGAATAAAGTCTATTTGATTTCTTGTTCTATGTCCAGGTGATTTCCAGGTATAGAGTCTACGCGGATGATGTTTGAAATGCGTGTTCATTACAGAAATACGTAAATACAATAAAAAATAGAGAAATGGACTATTTGAAGGCCTCAAAAGTTTTTGAAGTACCAAAAGGTACCTTAGAACGATATGTGAAATCAGACAGACTCCAGAAGAACTCGTCGGGATATCAATTGGCCGCCGACCTATTCTTTCTTTGAAATTAGAAAATGAGTTGGTTGAGTATGCCCTAATTATGGAGCAACGTTATTTCGGGCTAAGAGCGCGTGATATACAACGATTGGGATTTTAACTTGCAATACGAAACTTAATACCACATCCATTTAGCGGAGTCAAAAAATCAGCCGGAAAGAAACGGTTAAGGCTCTTTCTTACTCCTCAGGAAATGTCATGTGCTCGAGTCAAATCTTTTACTCCTGAAAATGTATCCAAGTTCTCTGACCTGTATGAACCAGAATAGCTTTAGCTTACTAACCCTGCACAACGTATATTCAATGTAGACGAAACAGGCCTTAAATTGTTCAACACAAACATAGCAAAGTAATTTCCTTGAGAGGGGGAAGAAGCAGGTATCGTCACTTACTTTAGCAGAAAGGGGCAAGCTGATTATTTCTATTACAAGTATGATTGCTGCAGGAGTTTTCGTATCACCATTATTGTTATTATTATCTTCCCTGGAAAAAATATGAAAACAGAGTTGATGCTAGGAGATTCCACTGGAGCAGTCGCAGAATTCCATGTGCCAGGTTCGGTACAGGCCGATATTTTCACTAGATGGCTTCAACATTTAATAAAATTCACTAAACCTTCAGCTGCAGACCCTGTTCTTCTAGTCCTTGATGGTCACTATTCTCATACGAGAAACGTTGCTCTAATAGATTTAGCCAAACAGAAGCATGTGATGATTGTTTGCCTCCCACCACATTCTACACATAAAATGCAACCGTAGAATGTTGCCTTTATGGCACCGCTGAAAACTAACTACGCACAAGAAATAGAAAACTGGCTTAGAAAAAATCAGTTAAGTATTGTGTCGCCTTATGCCGTTGCCAGTATTTTTTGTAAAGCGTATAACAAAGCTGCGACGATGGAAATATCTTGCAATGGGTTCCGAAAAAGTGGACTGGTCCCTATTTGTCGCCATATTTTTAGAGACTTTGAATTTGGACTTTAAGAGCACTTAGAAACACAAAACGAAAGGTACGAACAAATAATAGAACCAACCATAAACAACCAAATCATCCAATGTGAGAACATAGAACTCTTATTCCACCACTACCTCATCAACAACTTGTTTGTTAGAAAGACATCTGTCCAATCCCTACATTCTACAAGAGAGATACCAATAAAAAACCACATGCCAGATCAGGAAAGGCTTTAGTAATTACTCTTAACACCCTACAAAGAAGAATTAGAGCAAAGTTTGCAGAACAAAAAAGCAAAAAAACTAGTACCCCCGAAAAAGAAATTGTAGATGAAGACGTAGGTCAACCTTCTACATCAAAAGGCAAAACATCAAGAAGGAAGTGGAAAGTTTCTTCGAGTTCAAGCTCAGATAGCAGTGAAGACTTTCCATTAGCTAATTCATCGTCCAACGAAAGTGGAGAAAACGACGCGGAATGTTTATTTTGCACCGGCAAATTTTCCGACGATAGATATGGCGAATGATGGGTAAAGTGTTACCAATGTGGCAGGTGGGCACATAAGGACTGTGGAGAAATAAAGTCCATCACATTTAGTTGTCTTTTCTGCGAAGGAAAGGGATTTTTAAATACTATCTCAAATTAAGTTAGATACTTTCTCAAGTTTAGATACCTGGCTATCTCAAATTAGGGCACCTTTTATTTTTAATATTAAATGTCACAAAAAAGTTTAAAAAGACATATTACTCACCTGCTCCTAATCCGACGACAACACCAATAATAGAAAGCCATACTAAAGGACCTGCGAACCACCTTAGAATAAATATATAGATTAAACACACCACCAGGGCAATACCAACACCCAGTGCAATTTTCCACCAACATGTGATTAAATCTTCAATTATTTTTTGACCGATCTAAAAATTAAGACATGTAAGCATAAATAAATGAAATTCTTTAAGACCAAAAATTTAAATGTAGCATATAAGCGATATTTTAAGGTCGCACCTTCGATCAACTTCATTATAATTGTTTTCTCATCAGTGTAGAATAAATAAATTTTTAGCTCAAAATCACACTAATCACAGTCGGGTAAAGAGTATTTATCGAACAATTTTGCTTCTTCCAGTGCCACTCTATATACTTGCGAAGTATTGCGATATTTAATTCATTTAATATAAATTACCGCTAAATGGCGTGCATAAGATTTTATTCTTTCACATATGAAACAAATAACAAGCATTTAGATTAAATGAATATTATTTTAAATTTTTAATATATTGTAAAAAGCATTTACACAATATATATTCAAACAGAAATTAATATTAAACTCAACAGTCTTCTCGGTTAAACCGAGTCGGTTATAATTTCGCAGAGCTTTCGACAACCTCTTCGATGTCTTCTTCAGGGTTTCCGAGGTCTCAGTCTCCCCAGCCGTCAGACACTAATACACTGATCACTACCCAATGTATTACTGGTACTGGGAATAGAGAACGATTCATTTATACCGTCGATGGTGACGTGGTTTGGATCAAGGTTGGCATGGGTTAACGTGAGGATTAGCGCGGGGATAGGCGCAGTGGTTTGCGCGAACATTTCTGACAGAATTGTGATTGACGGGTGAATCGGACGATATTTCTTTATGCGAAGTCTTCACGTCGAAGGTAACCGTATGTTATCATCTCTTTTATTGAGACAGTTTGGCTTTTTTCAGTTTCTACGACTTCTCTAATAATTATTGGTTTATAGGAGCAGATGAGGCTATGATTCTCGAGTTTTCAAAATCAATTTTGTGAGCTGTATGAAGATGGTGTTGACCTAGAGCTCAAATTGAGTCGGAATTACAAACAGAAATAGAATGTTCATAAATCCTATTTTGGATTCTCCGATTTGTTTGGCCTATATAGGATCGGGAGCTGTCTGCACAAGGAATTTCATAATTTCCGTGTATCGTTTGTTTGATATGTTGTCTTTGATTAATCGGGTAAGAGATAAAAGTTTTTGTTTTAGGTAGGTAAAATGTCAAGAGGAATGAAGACAATATTTACTCCCCAACGAAAAACTTTTATCTCTTGTTCAATCAATTCAAGACAACATTTCAAATAAACAACACGGAATTTATGAAATTCCTTACACAGAAAACCCTCGATTCTCTATTCTATACAGGTCAAACAAATCGTAAAATCCAAATTAGGATTTATGAACATTCCATTTCTGTTCGCAATTCTGACTCAATTTCAGCTCTAGGTCAACACCTCTGATGTCTTCCTCGACATCCTCTCTGATGTCTTCCTCAGGGCTTCCGAGATCTCAGTCTCCCGAGCCCCCAGACACTACTACACTGTTCACTGATCACTGCACTGTCACTACTACGGCTGGAAACAGGAGACGGTTCATTTATACCGTCGATGATGTGGCCCAGGTGGAGGTTGGGTGGGGTTTGGCGCGAGAGTTGGCACTGGGGTTTGGCGCGAGAGTTGGCACTGGGGTTGGCGCGAGAGTTGGCGCGAACATTTCCGACTGTGGGATTTTGATTCGAGGATGGAGGGGGCGATATTTTTTTTATGAGAGGTCTCCATGTAGAAGGTAACCGTATGGCGTCATCTCTTTTATTAAGACAATTTGGCCTTTTTTCTATTTCTCTGGTTTCTCGGATAATTCTTGGTTTATGGAATCGGATTGGGGATATGGTTCTGGAGTTTTCAAAATCAATTTTGTAACCTCATTTGGAATATTGTCTTTGATTGATCGGACAAGAGATGAAAGTTTTTGTTGGGGAGTAAATATTGTTTTTATTCCTCTTGGTTTCAGAATTCTGTCGGTTTTGCCAGTGACACCTTTGATATAAGGGAGAAAAGCTTTCGTATGATAAGGGTCTGAGTCTTTGGGTTGAGATTGAGTTGAAGATTGATGTCTGTGAATGTGAATGCTCCTATTGATGTGATTTTCGCGGTAACCGTTTTGGATTAGAGCTTGTTTTAAACAAGCGAGCTCAGCGGGTCTACTTGCATCATCGCCTATATATATACATATATATATATATTGTTATGCTATTTAAATTGTATTATTTTGCTTATTTAGAAAAAATCCTGTCTATATTTATTAAATGATCTAATCTCCAATTAATCACAATAAATCAGCATTAATTAATTACAATCTCAGGCTATTTAACTTGTACTATTTACCTTTGATCGTGGATTCAAAATATTTTCCAATTGGCTTCCTAATTGGGATAGGTAATATGACCTGAATAAAATACATAGAATTTCAACTGAACTATATGTGAGATGTCCTTTATTTTAATGAAATTTTATATAACAATTAATCCTGTAATATTTGCAATATACTAACTTTAAATATATGAGAAGTTGTTTTCTATCATGGACCCAAATGTTATTTTACATTGATTTTTAATATGTGTTATAACTAAGCTCTTTTTATAATTTTTTTTTAAATGATCGCAAAATTAACTGTCTCTATTATGTATTCAATTTATTTAATTAATAAATGAAAACCACACTCCTGCTCCAATGAAAAATTGACTGACCTTTCTTTAAACCTTTCTCTGCTTCTGCTCCTATTGTGGTCCAGATGACGTACACCTTTCTCCTATCTGTCCTTGTATCTGCAAACCAACAACTCGTTTTATTCTATGCAGCCTCCTTTTGAGCCAATCTCCGCGCCTGTTTATAACTCCAAATGTTTCCGGCTTCGTCTGATATTAATATTCTTATACCCTTTGGTTTTTCTATCTCTCTGTACCCCTTTCCTCACACTGGTCAGCTTTTACACAGCAAATAAACACACCCGGTAAATTACGTCTTCGGGACTTCAAACAAACACAAATCACAAAGCTCCTTCCTTCTTGGGCGACGAAAACTGACTAACTCCTTTCCTCTCTCCTATCTCATAGCCAAAACCACTCCCTCCTTGCATTCAAAAATTGACCAATCAAAATCTTCTACCTCTGTGACGTATATCGTTATCAACCAACTCTCTCTATTAAAACGTCATTCGGGTAATTCCAGAAAACAACATTCTTTAATTATTCTAACTAAATCTATCTGCTTTACAAATATTTCTTACTAATAGCTACAAACGATACCTGTTTCTCAATTCAATGTCTTTTGTTAATAAACTTTTACCGATATAATCTTTCGGGGGGAAAAACCACCGCACATCCCGGTCTATTGTTTAAACACTTTCTATATACACTTTTATTACGGGTAAATCCATTTCACAATAACCGACTTATTTAAATTTCTTATCGATAATATTTGAAAGTCTTGTCTCTGAGGCCTAATGAACAATTCTTTGAACAACTTAAAATACATATTTTGTCTTATACAGGATGTTTGAAACTTTATATGCCCGTGTCTTTATGAAATATCAATAATCTTAATTTTTATTTAAGTAATAAAATTTGTATATCGGTTTTTATTGCTAGTGGACATTCAAAAATACAACAATATATATATATATTATATATATATATATATATATATATATATATATTATATATATATATATATATATATATATATATATATATATACATATTGTAACGACTACGATCGTCAATTTATAATAATAAAGTATTTAACTAGTGAATTCAAAGGTTTAAGCGGTCATTCAGGTTGCCAAAATAAAAAAGAAGTTAACTACTTCATAAGTTTATAGAAGACGTTATATATATATATATATATATATATATATATATATATATATATAACAAGGCATATTTCAAAATAAAGGCCTTAAGCTATCTTTGTTAGAATCTATGGAAATCAATAAATTAAAAAACACAGATATAATTCTGAATGACCAACTTGAGACAAACAGTTCTCCCCTCCTCAACCTATTTCATTAGAGACTATAAATTGTAAACGCATGCCAAAAATAGATCACTTGAGAAAGGCTATCAGCCGAAACCGCTGTAGTGATAATGGTTAAAATAAATTTTGTGGAAGTTTGAAAACAAAGTTTTCAGTGTTTTATTGTTACATAAAATGAATTTCCATCAAGTAACGGTCGAATCCATCAATTATATATATATATATATATATATATATATATATATATATATATATATATATATATATATATATATATATATATATATAAACTCTTTTGAGTTTAGAGATAATCACAGAACATTCTTCTCTGATTTCATATTTCTTTGTTGTTCATTTATGTTGGGATGTTCATTATTTAATGGCTTTAAGCTATAATGGGGAATATATATGTAGAAATAGAAAATAGCACCTAAAGCAACGTACAAAACAACTTAAAATTAATAATAATAATAATAAAATTATCCATTACCATAATTATTAGATATTACTAAAAATAGGTATTCCTTTTAAACATTTTAACCTCATGTACATAGTATACTATACTCATTTAGCATAATATATTATAATTTATTACTCTACACTGATTTGAAAATTTAATACTTCTTTACTTGTATATAAAATAATGGTATTAGTAAACAATAAAGGAACATGCAATAAAAAGCATCAAGCAAGTTAGCTCCTTGTATGAAAACTAAAATTGAAAGCTTCCAAAATGCTATACGCAAAGTAAATTCAAATATAAAGTATAATCATTTTATCAATCGCGTTGTATTTCCATGCGAGTGTTACTTCTGCGAGATCTTATTAAATTGATTTTGTTTTTCAATTTTCTACTAAACTGATCAACCGTGCCGGTCTGAGACTTTGCGAAGTAGAGAAGCAGTATATCGTTGTGGTACTTGCAATAGGTCCTATGTCAAAACTAACTGGTTTATAAAACATACATGACCGATTCAGTCAAATACACAACTCCAATAAGTCATATGTCGATGGGCCAATAAGAAAGATGGGTCGTGACGTCAAAGTTTCCAGCATAATACAATCTTTTTTTCCATTTTATT